AAAAACCTTGACTTTAATCGAGTAGCCTAGAGTGGCTCCATGTAATAGATTTATTGGCAAATTAATTATCTAAATTTTATATAAAAGAAATTCAGACTATCAGGAACAGACCACCAAATTAATGGCTTTTCAGTGGCACTGATTAAGAAGGGATGTCCTCAAAATAATTACTTCCCAGAATTAAAAGAAAAAACCTGTATATGTTATAAAAAGTCCTGGATAGCTTTAAAAAAAAAAAAAAACCTTTCCTCCAGTTTAAACAATGGTTGCAACTGAAAACAATATAGTTTTAGACAGAAATAAGCAGAGTAAGAACAATATGCCAGGTATAGAAGGTCACCATGTCAGAAAGCCAGGGTGCCTAGCAACAAACATTTAGGGTTAATGGAGACAGTCTGGCTTCCTCACCCAGGTGTTTAGGTAACTAAGGGAAGCAATGTTCCCATAATCTTGAATGGGCCTGATAAGTAGTGTTCTCTGTTGGGAACAAGGAAATTAAGAACTAAATTTAACCTTAATAGACAAGAACCACATTGTAGCTAAAAAGAAATGATAAAAGAGACAAAGTACAGTTAAAGCAAACATCCTGTGTCTAGCAGACGCTCTCCCCTGGGTAGGCTAGATAAGCAGTGCTTTGTAGTTTTTAATAGCAAATAGAAAACTAGCTAGCTAGAGCCAGGAGATTACTAGGTTAATGAACAAACATCCTGCCTTCCTGCCTTATGAAAGAATGCTTGGTTTGAAATTCCCGTGCGCGGTCTTTGTAAGCGAATTACTAACTGCCATGTCTGCTTCTGTATAACTCTTGCTTGCCTGCCCATATATAAGAACGTAGTTGTAAGCGCTCGGCGCGGCTCTCATTTGCAGCTCCTTGTGGGCACTGTGTTGCTGGACACTTTGAGAGTTCGCCCCTGTGCAGGTTAAACTTGGCCAATAAAGTAACATCTTTATGCCCTGAAAGTCTCCGATATTTGTTCTCGAGTTTGCTGGATGCTACATTCTCATAACCTAGAGACTGGGTCAGATAAATTGTTCCCATAATATGAAGTGGGCTCGAATTCACAGAATAATGCTGTTATATAACTTTCCAGCTTGAAGCTGCCTTTGTTTGCTTCTAGTACTTAAGTCAGTAGTGGCTTCTCAGTAGAGAGACATGCAGCTCTCAGCATGCATGTCTTCTCCACCTATGAATAAAAGCATGTCAAGCATCCCCAAAACTCCACACATTTTCTTCCATCTCCCTGAATCTAGAGTGGACCTGCCAGACCTTGACAGGCTGCAATGTGAGGTAAAACTGGGAAAACAAGTATTGTAGGATGAGACCTCACAACCAATATGACCTTTTCTATGCTAGCATATTGCTGGCTATACAGTTGAGACCCCCTGACCTTTTATATTGATGGTCAATTGGTTCAAACCTTCCCCTGTTTCCTCCCCTGTCATGTCACTAGTCATATGATAGATAGACCCCCCTTAAAGGAGCATTAAGAGGGCCATAGAATACCTTCATATTGTAACCAAACAATATTGGGGTTCTAGTGCCCACCACCACCCTCTAGGCAAAACTTCCAGGAGCAAAGATTTGTTGATAAAGAAAGAATCTTTATTCAAAAGCAGTTACTTAAGCCCTGGCTAGTGTGGCTTGGTGGATTGAGTGCCAGCCTGCGAATCAAAGGGTTGCAAGTTTGATTCCCTGTCAGGGCACATGCCTGGGTGGTGGGCCAAGTCCTCAGTAGGGGGCATGCCAGAGGCAACCAAACATTGATGTTTCTCTCCTCTTTCTCCATCCCTTCCCCTCTCTCTAAATAAGTAAAATCTTTTAAAAAAGAAAGCAGTTACTTAAGCCTATCAAGTCACAGCTTTAATCACTGCAGCCTCTCAAGTAAGGCTAAACTCTAACACCTGAGTTTTCCTATCTTTCCCCTGTCAGTTTTTAGTTCTCTTGTTTTTACTGGGTAAGTTTTCAAACTAAAAACACTATAATATACAAAAACCACACAATTTTGTAAGAATGTCAGGCTTCCTATTCCCTCTAGGACACTCAAAGAATAAACCTGTTACCTTCTGCCAGGCAAGCCTGATCCTAGGCTGTGTCTGGAGTTCCTTCCCATACAAAATACTATCTGTTGGGAAATGCAGGCAGCTGCAGCATTATCATCCAAGCATCCTCAAGGAAGAAGAGCCTGAGAGTGAGCCTAAGAGCCTGTGCCAGAGCCTGTGCCAGAGCCAGAGCCAGAGCATGAGAGTAAGCCAGCTCAGGAGCCAGAGGGCAAACCCTGAGCCAGAGAGCAAGCCTTCTTTTCATTTTCCATTGGCTGTGGAGGCATTCAGCTTCTCAGCCAATCCTGTCTTACACTCTCTACAATTGCCTCATCAAACTCCTCCTATTGCCCGTCTCTATTTCTCCCTAGTGATCTAAGTTATCTTAATCAGTTCTCTCTATATTAATATGACTCCCACACAAGCATTTGCATGACTACTTTCTTAAGCATTAAGTCCCCAGGACAATGAGGTTCTGTCCAGCCTCAGGTCTGTTGACCACAGAGACAGAGTTCTGATCAAACTCGAGGTAACATCTTAACTTCAGTCATGTTTCAGCTCCCAGCTCAGAAAAGCAGCAAAACTAAATGAAGCAATGTAATGACTGACATCAGGACCAGTTGCAATGACTAATGACTCCCTAGTACTGACCAATCAATAGAGCCCACAACCCTAAAAATAACACACCTGAAAAGCTGATGAATATTGTATTGAGATCCTCCCCCAAGTCCTCTCCTAAAATCCCCACCCTTAGATAAAACCTCATAAGATAAAAGACCCAATGTGTGTGCTCTCTAGCGCTCTCTCTCTCTCTCTCTCTCTCTCTCTCTCTCTCACACACACACACACACACACACACACACCCCTGCCCGTGCCTTTCTCCTTTCTTCTGTCAAGGCATATACCTTTGCTTTCTTGTAAGCTTCAAGGACTCTTGTTTTACCTCTGTAACTTGTTTTCTGAGTCCATGCAGTCCAGATGGCTCAGTTTTTCTACCTCTTTGACTTTCCAATACACTTTTTATGCCAGAGTTCTTGGCTCTGAATTCTTTCTTAGACAAAGTCAAGGTCTTATATATAACTTCTAACTTCATCTATAACATCTGTTGCCATTTGCCATCAACAAATATCTTGGTAAAATTTATCAGCCTTCCTCTTCTTTAAATGACTATGGGTGCTCTAGGGACATTGAGGCAACATTTCCATTACTTCACACCAACCGTTATGGGGAGTGAAGGGGAAATGGAGTCAGTCAGGCACGCTCACCCAGATGTCTGGGCAACTAAGATAAGCAATATTTCATGGCCTTGAGAATGGGCCAGCACGTGCAGAATATCATTATATAATCTCTCGGCACCCTGATGGCTTTGTGTGCGTTTACTGTATAAGGGAGTTGGAACATCCCTCAGCACCACACAGAGCTTGCACCATGTGTGGATAGCCCCACCCTTGAAAAGGCATTCCCAGAGCTCCATGAATTTTCTTTGGCCTGAAAAAATCCCAAGTGAAGCAGCCCGGCCTTGGAAGGCTGCAAGAAAATTGGCATCATTGGCAGAATTTCTCACAGTATGGTATGAATATGCAGGAACCAGCAGTGGAACCCCCAGATGGGGACTTGGAAGGGTTGCCCATCACTGAAATGTGATATTGATGGGAAGTCTCCTGGGAACATGGGCCCCACCACAGAATTGGCCCAATGTTCATGGTGCACCTGACACAGTATTGAAGGCACTGTGGATGGTTGGGAAGACCCTTGAGAAGCCAAGAACCTGGGCGACAGTGGAGGCTGTGGACTGGGTGTTTCTTTCAGCATTGTGAGCTGAGATACAGACTACACTTCATAACACAGTGAACTTATGTGAACTTCAGGGAAGAGAGGAATACCTGGAGAAGAGACTCCGACCTGAAGGAAAATCTCCAAGCAGAAAAACAGTGACAAACCCTGGTCATAGCAGAAGAGTGAGAGGGGACAGAAAGGCTATGGTACCAAGTTCCTTGAGGGCCCATCCAGTGGGTTACAGAAAATGAAGTTCCAGCAGCCCCTGGCACCTGGGAGAGATGCCAGCCAGCCCTGCCCAGATGACTGAGCACACAACTTACCACCTCTATATACAGGCTGAACTGGTCGATCTCATGAATCAGTTTCAAGAGTGATCAGAGAGCTCTCAGAAGCTCTTACACCTTTGGGATTTGGGGGTGGATAGCATCATGTGCACTGATAATGAGATGGAAAAGGCAGCTTCCATCTTGCAACCCACCACTCTCTGTGCCACTAGCTACAGAACAGCTGGTGGCACAGAAGGGGGCAAGGATAGCTTTCTCTGTTGGAATAAGTCATGACAGCTATTCATACAGTCTGGGAGGGTGCAGGTGTTCCAGATACCATGAGCAAATGGATGTCTTTGTGGACTTAGTGCAAATCCTACAGGAGCTGGGGATGTGCCAGGCTACATTCAATTCTAGTGCCCAGGGCCATGATGATGAATGGTTTACATCAGGGATATGAGACCTTGTGCTGCAGCACACCTCTTCCGCCTCATTGGGATCTCTCATGGCAATCGTAGCCCTGTGTGTCGTATTGCATTAGTGAGGTCACCACGATTGGGGTGAGTCTGGGGGACGCAGAGTCTTGCCATCAGAAGAAAGCAGTTTGGGCAGTACCTCAAATTGCCTGTTTCTTGGTCAAACAGTGCCCCCATGCATGTGACCAGGATACACATGTGGTCAGACCTTTTAGGGCCTGAGGTAGATCAACCTAACATTGATAGATAGAAAGCCATACTCTTACTTACTAGAGCTCTGGAAAGAGTATTAGAGCTCTGGAAAGCCGCATGTTGAATTGGCTATCCACTGGTTCCCTTATCTTTTGGATCTAAGATGCTAAAAGATTAATATTTTTTTTAAACCTCATCATAGATTAACAAATATTTCTTTGATTTTTCTCAATCACACTAAGAAAAGTAACTTGTATCAATTTATTATAGATTTCCAGATATCAATACCAGTCAATGCTTGGTTGGTTATTAAATCATAAGTAAAATGATCCTTAGAACTGGGTCATAGTATGTGGAATGCTTTAACTTTTCTTAGTTCAAATCCTGTAAAATACATAACCATGCCCTTTTGTTTTAAGCTGATATACTGACTTTGCAGTCTATACTTTTTAAGAGAGCAGGTAACTCTAGCACAGAAGAAACTATATAATGTGGTATGGGTGATGACTTCAATGGCACTATTGAATTTTTATTTATCCAGACTGTTGCCTTCAGCCCTGCATTGAGACCTCCTTGTATATCAGTTTCTAGTGTGTCACCAACCATCACACAGTCCCCAGGCTGTACTCCAAGGAGATCACAGCAGTAATGAAATATGGAAGGTGCTGGTTTCTCTTCTTTCTGTTCTCCACCTACAACAATAGCATCAAAATAGGACTGACAGGCACAAGCATCAATCTTCTCCCTCTGCGTCTGTCTGTCTCCATTTGTTAATAAAAGTAGATAGACCTCCTTTCGAAGTTCAGTGAGCATGGTTTTGACATCTTCTGCTAGTGTCATATGCTGTAAACGTGTAGATTTCCACAAAAAATAACATTCTTCAGCCAACTTCCTATTGGCTGCACCACCCCTGGTTTCCTGAATTGCTTCTTCCCAGTGTGAAATCCTTAGATCAGTAATGCATGTATTGGAAGAATGAAAACATTCCTTGCTGAGTTTAACTTGAACTTTGTCACAAATTATTTCAGCCTCTTCTTTGTAATGGTATTTTGATTGTAAAATCTTTATTACCTAAATAAAGGAAAAAACTCCATTAACATTAAAAAACTTTATGTCTATATATATATGCACACACATACGTATATGTATATATATTCATATTGATATATGAATATATAGAAAACTATATATGTAGTGTTATATATGTATTCACATATATAGAAAACTATACATATGAATATATATATTCATTCAAATTTATATTCTGAAAACATTTTTCATATATAGCTAATAAAAATCCTTCTTTTAGCGGTTTAAGTCTACCACCTTTCAGGTCATGAAGATATGAAAATTAAACTTATGTTTATATTTAGTGAAATACTTTAAATTTCTAACAACTATTATTTAGACTCTTCCCAGAAATAACACAGGTTCATCTCACTTTTTCTCACCTATGTCCCTTTCATGTCTTAAAGACCTAAATTGACCACCATATAAAATGGGATACAATTCTGTACTTAAAAAAATGTGTATACAGCCCTGGCTTGTGTGGCTCAGTGGATTGAGCGCCAGCCTGAAAACCAAAGGGTCCCTGGTTTGATTCCTAGTCAGGGAACATACCTGGGTTGCAGGCCAGGTCCCCAGTATGGAGCACATCAGAAGCCAACATACATTGATGTTTCTCTCTCTCTTTTTCTCCTTCCTTTCCCCTCTCTCTAAAAACAAATAAATAAAATCTTTTTTAAAAAATGGGTATATAGCTCTAATGAAATCAGGCATGTTCTGTGATTTCAGCAGTTTAATAATCCAGTGCTTCTTCCAAACCTAGATTTCCAGATTAAAAAACTTCAAGTTGTTTTGAGTCACCCTCTTTGTTACATAGTTCTGATTCCCTCTTCAGGATTACATTAAGTTCTTAAATCATTTTTACTATCTTCTAACACTTACCAATACCCTAGTGGCAAGCATTATGCCCAATGCTCACATTCATTATTTCTACCTTTCTAACTCTATGGGAGTTCTCCTCTTGAGATGAGGAATAGAAGTTCAGAATTAAGTACTCGCTCGAGCTAGAATTTTAACCCACACTTTCCTACTTTCAAAGTCTACATGCTTACCCTTACACTATTATATCAGGCACTTGGAGACTGGGTCCCTTGTCTTCATCTGGTGTGGAAAATAAACAGGTATGCAACCACCACAAATGCTGGGTTGAGCGCCATGATAGTCTTATGAACGTCAATTGTGGGAATAAAATGGAAGGAGCAAGTCACTCCACAGAATTGCTAGGTAATCCTTGTCCAAGGAAGTAATATTTAAACCAAACAGTTACCAAGTCTCTCAGGTGGGATGGAAGGATCATAAAATCATTCTAAACAGAAGGAACGGCCTGAAGAAAGTCACAGAGCTTGGAATTTTGAAGGCAAGAAGCTTAGTTCAGCTAAAATGAAGTCACATGAGGGAGGATGCTAACAGATGAAACTAGAGACTGGTATCAGCCTGTAAAAGACTGTTATATCCCAGGCTATAGAAGCTACCCAAATCACCTTGACATATACTATTCCCATACATGTCAATGGCTTTATATTGTAAGTACTTGGGCTTCTCTTCCTGAGGCTTTATTTGGCCACATCTATACCCACGCACATAGGCTGGGGCCAAAGTGTTGCCCAGAAGTGGCTTCAGCCAATGAGGAACTGAAACTGGTGAATAAGTATCACAGCTTTCTTGCCCCTTGGGAGGGGCAAGTAAAGCATATTCTGCATACTGTCTCTCAGAGTTCCCCAACTCTTCACCCCAGTAACCTGCTCATTTATGTAACCTTATTTGATTCCTTCAATTCCCCATCTTAATCCACCACTCTGTACAGCGCTTACTGGGATCCCCTCCAAACAAATTACCTGCACTTAAAGTCCCTGTTTTAGGGACATCAGGGGAAAGTCAAGCATACCAAGACAATTTTAGATCTTTGCAGATAAGTACAACGTACATAGTTGGGAATAAAATTTGTCTGCTGTTCAAGCAACAGGGTCAAACAAAATGTGCTGTCCTAAACTATACAGGGAAGAGTGGTATGCTATTCACACCAGACACTCGATTCACGCATTGAAAATAAGAAAAGATGAAGAGACACATTCTTCTCCCTTCAATCTATAATAATCACTTACATCAAAAGTAAAGGAAATATTTTTCAGGCTATTTGTGCTCATCAGAAAATTCAAGAGTTAAAAAAAAACAACTTTCACTAATCCAAGAAAAATATACCAGCCCTAAGATTTTAGCTGAAGGTAAAACACTGAAAGTTTTTACCTTATGAATTTAAATTTCAATTAACAAATCAAGCTTCTTCAAACTTCACGGCTATGTTACCATCTTTTATAATAATGTCAACTGAATTATTCTTGAGCTATGCTTAAAGGTCATTCTAAAGTTTTAACCCCATTGCCACACAATAAAAAGAAACAGGCCTCTAGGAAACCACTGGACTTGATCTTAAATCAAAGCTGTATCATAGTTATAAAACCCAAAGCTTCCAATAAAGGTCCAGTTGTTACTGCAACTGGCAATTCATTGGGTCTCTGAAAAAGCAGAATTAGCTGACCTTAAAGGGGAGATTCTTGTAAAAGCATAAAATACTGCTCCCCAAGTTTCAAAATTTCTTTCCATTACATCCCCTGAGTTAACTTTCCTGTTTGTCACATAGCGACTAATTACAGATTCATTTCAATAAGTAGGATTTTAATAATATTAACATCTTTGGGACAAAAGTTTATCAGTCATTCACATATATTAGATCAAACAGAAATAATCCCCAGTTGAATTAGTGCATGCTATTATTTGTATAAACTCTCCTAACATTTGCACTAAGAGAATGGAAGTTCTGACTGAACTGCATGAAGGTAGAGGAAAAAGATCTCTAACTTGGAGATGTGATGATATTTTGTGCAAGGGTAAGGCAGACTGGAAAAAAATATTTTGAGTAAAATAAGCCTACCAGGTACTTATAAGCCTGAAAAAAAAAACACAGACCCTAAGATAGTGGGGGTGGGGAATCAATTTGTAGGCATAATATAAACTCAAATTTCACCAACTTCAAAACTCTATTTAAGGATGTGTCTTATACAAAAAGTGTCTTATACAACACATTGTATAAGGATGTGTCTTATACAATGTGTCTTCTTTACTTCCTGTTCTGTGGACCCATAATTAAAGTTAATATCATCACCACTCATGTTTAGCTAACTGTGATTTAAGAAGACTTCTTGAGAGCTAGAACAATATAACATTTTATAACACTATGATTAATATATGAAGTGACTGAATTCCAAATAAAACTAAGTTAAAAATACATTCAAACAGCTCTCCTGTTATTTTTAGTTTCAGTCTTTGCTCAAACATCATCCACTCATTGTGGCCTAATCTGACAAACCTATTTAAAACTGTGATTTGTGATTTTTGAGAAAATGGCAGCGAAGTTGAGTCCACTTGCTCTTGCACCCAATTTGGACACTTAGCTGATCTGCCGAAAAATAAAGTTAACAGTCAATGGAATCTTAGCTGATACAATGTTTGGAAGACAAAAAGTAGAGAACACTTTAAAATGAATGAGCAGTTAGAAGGTTTTATAGGTTGAGAAGGGAAGTCCCTGGGCATGGTGCCAGCAACTGTGGTGCCAGCATCTGTGGAGAGCCTGGTCAGAGACAGCAGCCTAGCAGCTCCCTCCCCTCCCTAGGGTAGAATCAGCCTCCCAACCCTGACCAGGAGTGACTTGAATATGCAAAGTCGTTAGGGAGGGCCAGGCTACACACACACACACACACACACACACACAACTAGCAGCACACCTATAGCTGCAATGGTGGATGCTGACCAGCAGAATGCCAGAGAATGAGAGAGATACTGTCTGCATCTGGATCTGGTACAGGACAAGGGCTGCAGCTGGCTGTGGTAGACTCTTGACTTTCTGGAGAGGTGGAGTGCAGAAAGCCAGACAGTGGCTCAGCACTGCAGTTTGAACACTCAGAGAGACTTTTTTAAAAGGGGAACTAAGATGTGCTAGGCAGGGACCCCACATGCCCAGCTGCCCTGCCAAAAAGGAGGGAGGACTGTGGGCTCAATTTGATCCTGCTCAGTACAGCTAGGTGGATTGATCAAAGGGGTGCATAGCAAGGTAGTTTCTGGGCCTCAGACCAGTGCGGAGTGGCTAGTGTGGCCGCTGTATTCTGTGAGGGTGGTGGACTGGGAAGTGTATACCTGAGATTATTTGAGGACAGTCTGGTCCCTTTCCTTGGTAAGACCTCCAGGAAGGGAAGGTTGTACCCAGCTACCACCTCCTGTAGGAGCAGGGGAAGAACTGCAAAACCGGCTGGGAAGGCTTAACAACCCTGCAGAGGGGAATTTCCTCAAGAGAAAAGAGAGCAAGATGAACACCTAAAAGGGCCTAGTTTGAACTTCTCACAGGGAGACAAAGCACATTGGGTCCTGGGACCCTATTTCACTGAGGCTATCGGAGCAGGAACTTAAGAAAAGGGTATATAGCAAGGGGGATTCAGGGCTCTGCCTGCCTTGGCTCACACACAGAGCTACTATCACACCAAGCAGGAGACAGCTTATGCTCTTACACAAATCGTCCCCTCCAACCAATGACATGGATAGCTATTTAAGCAGAAATTATATATTATTGGAAATAAGTTGGCACAGAATTAACATTGAAGGTGTAGGGGCAGGGGGAACGCAACTACAATTTTCCCAGAATAGTGACTGAATAGTGCCTCCTAGGGGAGAACCAGAGGACCAACCTCTTGAGCACAACAGAAGCTTCCTCTAGAGACAGGTGAAGGAGGTACAGATGGTATTACCAGAAGTTGGATGACCCATGTCTGGACCTTGAGCTGATAAAAAAACACAGACAGATACAGAAAGAAGTCTATGATGGCCATTCTCACCAGTCTGAAGTGGTATCTCATTGTGGTTTTAATTTGCATCTCTGATGGCTAGTGATGCTGAGCATCTTTTCATTTGTCTCTGGGCCCTCTGCATGTCCCCCTTGAAGAAGTGTCTACTCAAGTCTT